GACGTCCAGCTGATTTGGGAGGCTTACTGCTTGCGCTTTCCGGCGCGGGAGTTCCCGGATAAATATCAATAGTACTTGTGTTAGATTTGTGTACACCCTGTCTTTTGTTTTTGTTGCCATGTCTGCCAATTACTAAGGAAGTATGTTTGTATCCGTGTTTTGGTTCGCCCCGTTTGGGCATTGTGTTTGTTTGCGTTTTTGATTGTGCTGTACTGGTTATTTCCTGTGTGTTTTATATGTTCCGTCTTTGTGTTGTTTCTAGTGCTGTTGGGTCTGTGTGTGTGTTTCCTGATGTCTGTGTTTGTGTGTTTTGTGTTTTTTTGCCGGTTCCTGCATGTTCCGGTGTTTGTTTTTGATTTGTTTGAATGTGTGGGTGTCATTTCATTGTGTTTTTTCCCGGTCCCTGCGTGTTCGGGTTATGCATTACTGTTTGTCTCGGCTCCTTGTCCTTTCCAGGTGGCCCTACAGGCTGGTTTTCTCCTTCATGTTGTATAGTGTTCTTTTCTCGTACTTCTTTGCCGCGGGCTAGTTCTGTGTATATGTATGTATATATATATATATATATATATATATATATATATATATATATATATATATATATGTCGTACCTAGTAGCCAGAACTCACTTTTCAGCCTACTATTCAAGGCCCGATTTGCCTAATAAGCCAAGTTTTCCTGAATTAATATATTTACTATAATTTTTTTCTTATGAAATGATAAAGCAACCCTTTTCTCTATGTATGAGGTCAATTTTTTTTATTGGAGTTAAAATTAACGTAGATATATGACCGAACCTAACCAACCCTACCTAACCTAACCTAACCTATATTTATAGGTAAGGTTAGGTTAGGTAGCCAAAAAAAAGCTAGGTTAGGTTAGGTTAGGTAGGTTAGGTAGACGAAAAAACATTAATTCATGAAAACTTGGCTTATTAGGCAAATCGGGCCTTGAATAGTAGGCAGAGAAGTGCGTTCTGGCTATTAGGTACGACATATATATATATATATATATATATATATATATATGTCGTACCTAGTAGCCAGAACTCACTTCTCAGCCTACTATGCAAGGCCCGATTTGCCTAATAAGCCAAGTTTTCATGAATTAATGTTTTTTCGTCTACCTAACCTACCTAACCTAACCTAACCTAGCTTTTTTTGGCTACCTAACCTAACCTTACCTATATATATAGGTTAGGTTAGGTTAGGTAGGGTTGGTTAGGTTCGGTCATATATCTACGTTTATTTTAACTCCAATAAAAAAAAATTGACCTCATACATAGTGAAAAGGGGTTGCTTTATCATTTCATAAGAAAAAAATTATAGGAAATATATTAATTCAGGAAAACTTGGCTTATTAGGCAAATCGGGCCTTGAATAGTAGGCTGAGAAGTGAGTTCTGGCTACTAGGTACGACATATATATATATATATATATATATATATATATATATAAAATAAAATAAAAATAAAATATATAAAATAAAAATATATAAAATAAATAATAAAAATATATAAAATAAAAAAAAATAAAATATATAAAAAAAATAAAAAAAATAAAAAAAAAAATATATATATATATATATATATATATATATATATATATATATATATATATATATATATATATATATATATATATATATATATATATATATATATATATATATATATATATATATATATATATATATGGCACAACTCTCCTAAACACGAGAGTGAAGTATACAACTTTAGAACACTTTCCCACCAGGAGACTCGAACCCTAGCCAGCACAGAAGCCTTCCAGCAACTGGCATAACAGGTACGCCTTAACCCTCTTCACCACCTGCTCAGACCCTTAAAAGAGATGGTAATTTCGGAGTATTTAAATACACCAAAGATCAACACCTCCCAAGAGCACTAGAGCAAGTGAGGGGTCATTTAGACGTTAATTTCATCAAGTCCCTGTTAATATGGGAAGACACAGTGTCTATGCTTAAGGCACAACTCTCCTAAACACGAGAGAGAAGTATACAACTTTAGAACACTTTCCCACCAGGAGACTCGAACCCTAGCCAGCACAGAAGCCTTCCAGCAACTGGCATAACAGGTACGCCTTAACCCTCTTCACCACCTGCTCAGACCCTTAAAAGAGATGGTAATTTCGGAGTATTTAAATACACCAAAGATCAACACCTCCCAAGAGCACTAGAGCAAGTGAGGGGTCATTTAGACGTTAATTTCATCAAGTCCCTGTTAATATGGGAAGACACAGTGTCTATGCTTAAGGCACAACTCTCCTAAACACGAGAGTGAAGTATACAACTTTAGAACACTTTCCCACCAGGAGACTCGAACCCTAGCCAGCACAGAAGCCTTCCAGCAACTGGCATAACAGGTACGCCTTAACCCTCTTCACCACCTGCTCAGACCCTTAAAAGAGATGGTAATTTCGGAGTATTTAAATACACCAAAGATCAACACCTCCCAAGAGCACTAGAGCAAGTGAGGGGTCATTTAGACGTTAATTTCATCAAGTCCCTGTTAATATGGGAAGACACAGTGTCTATGCTTAAGGCACAACTCTCCTAAACACGAGAGTGAAGTATACAACTTTAGAACACTTTCCCACCAGGAGACTCGAACCCTAGCCAGCACAGAAGCCTTCCAGCAACTGGCATAACAGGTACGCCTTAACCCTCTTCACCACCTGCTCAGACCCTTAAAAAGAGATGGTAATTTCGGAGTATTTAAATACACCAAAGATCAACACCTCCCAAGAGCACTAGAGCAAGTGAGGGGTCATTTAGACGTTAATTTCATCAAGTCCCTGTTAATATGGGAAGACACAGTGTCTATGCTTAAGGCACAACTCTCCTAAACACGAGAGTGAAGTATACAACTTTAGAACACTTTCCCACCAGGAGACTCGAACCCTAGCCAGCACAGAAGCCTTCCAGCAACTGGCATAACAGGTACGCCTTAACCCTCTTCACCACCTGCTCAGACCCTTAAAAGAGATGGTAATTTCGGAGTATTTAAATACACCAAAGATCAACACCTCCCAAGAGCACTAGAGCAAGTGAGGGGTCATTTAGACGTTAATTTCATCAAGTCCCTGTTAATATGGGAAGACACAGTGTCTATGCTTAAGGCACAACTCTCCTAAACACGAGAGTGAAGTATACAACTTTAGAACACTTTCCCACCAGGAGACTCGAACCCTAGCCAGCACAGAAGCCTTCCAGCAACTGGCATAACAGGTACGCCTTAACCCTCTTCACCACCTGCTCAGACCCTTAAAAGAGATGGTAATTTCGGAGTATTTAAATACACCAAAGATCAACACCTCCCAAGAGCACTAGAGCAAGTGAGGGGTCATTTAGACGTTAATTTCATCAAGTCCCTGTTAATATGGGAAGACACAGTGTCTATGCTTAAGGCACAACTCTCCTAAACACGAGAGTGAAGTATACAACTTTAGAACACTTTCCCACCAGGAGACTCGAACCCTAGCCAGCACAGAAGCCTTCCAGCAACTGGCATAACAGGTACGCCTTAACCCTCTTCACCACCTGCTCAGACCCTTAAAAGAGATGGTAATTTCGGAGTATTTAAATACACCAAAGATCAACACCTCCCAAGAGCACTAGAGCAAGTGAGGGGTCATTTAGACGTTAATTTCATCAAGTCCCTGTTAATATGGGAAGACACAGTGTCTATGCTTAAGGCACAACTCTCCTAAACACGAGAGTGAAGTATACAACTTTAGAACACTTTCCCACCAGGAGACTCGAACCCTAGCCAGCACAGAAGCCTTCCAGCAACTGGCATAACAGGTACGCCTTAACCCTCTTCACCACCTGCTCAGACCCTTAAAAGAGATGGTAATTTCGGAGTATTTAAATACACCAAAGATCATCACCTCCCAAGAGCACTAGAGCAAGTGAGGGGTCATTTAGACGTTAATTTCATCAAGTCCCTGTGTCTTGACACTGTGTCTTCTCATATTAACAGGGACTTGATGAAATTAACGTCTAAATGACCCCTCACTTGCTCTAGTGCTCTTGGGAGGTGTTGATCTTTGGTGTATTTAAATACTCCGAAATTACCATCTCTTTTAAGGGTCTGAGCAGGTGGTGAAGAGGGTTAAGGCGTACCTGTTATGCCAGTTGCTGGAAGGCTTCTGTGCTGGCTAGGGTTCGAGTCTCCTGGTGGGAAAGTGTTCTAAAGTTATATATATATATATATATATATATATATATATATATATATATATATTTACTTGTTATTATGTAACAATATCATTTCAGTGTTTCCTGTTATGTGCTTGTTTGTTTTTCAATTTTGTGTTTTGTTTGTGTGCTTTACATACTTGTAAAGCGATCACTGCTTTTACTATTTTTTGTCAGACTGTTTTATTGTATTTATTGTGCTTTATCAATAAAAAATGATCACTGTACTAACTACGATTTGTGACTGACTATACATCTTAACATCTTAGAATCAATTCATATCGCTTAAAATGAGACATGATTTGAACGACTCGAGGAGTCCTCGACTCCTTTGTTTACACATTAATTTCGTCTTCTGTAAACAGGTCGTTAGGTCCTTTATATCGTTAGCCAAAGTTATATCTTCTTGGTCTTCGTAACTGGTGTTGATATTGATGTATCTTTCATCTTGAATATATTAATTTAGCAAGCTAATTTTGTTTTGCTTAGTAATTGCATCTTTAGCGTTGATGGCGGAGTATTTTCTCTGAGATCACAATTAGAGATGATATTGTCTTTTTCTGCTGTTCCTCATAAGAAGAGAGGTTCCAAGATGAACATCTGTCTCTGAAATATATAATCTGTATGTGTGTGTGTGTGTGTGTGTGTGTGTGTGTGTGTGTGTGTGTGTGTGTGTGTGTGTGGGTGTGTGTGTGTGTTTATATTCAGCACAATGTTCACAATGTGTTTACATTGAATGTGTTTTCATTCAGCACTCTAGTTGTCTTACCTTGGTATCTCGACAGGTGTGGCGGTGTGCGAGGTCGGGGCGTCCATCACGTGTGTGGTGTCAGCCTCCCAGCGTCACAAGGACAGGTGTTTGGCTGCCAACCGTCTCTGTGACGGCCTCAACCACTGTCACAACGGCGACCAGCTGTCCGATGAAACGGGATGTCGTGAGTATCCCGTTATGTACTAACCTATTTGTGTACTCACCTATTTGTGTACTCACCTATTTGTGTACTCACCTATTTGTGTACTCACCTATTTGTGCTTGCGGGGGTTGAGCTTTGTCTCTTTGGTCCCGCCTCTCAACCGTCAATCAACTGGTGAGATTATGTGTGTGTGTGTGTGTGTGTGTGTGTGTGTGTGTGTGTGTGTGTGTGTGTGTTTACTATCTGTGTCTGCAGAATCGAGGTATTAGCTATTGGACCCCGCCTGTCTAACCAATTTATTTTTCCTCTGTTATGTCTACTACACACATTTCTCTTACACTCGCGCACACACATACATTCCTGGGTATGCGCACACCTCCTAGAAGCAGCCAGTAGCAGCTGTCTAACTTCCAGGTACCTATTTACTGCTAGGTGAAGAGAGGCATCAGTGTTAAAGGAACTCCGCTCATTTGTTTCCGCCTCGGTCCTTGGAACTACGACCCCCGAGCGCTGTCCACTCAGCCGCGAAGCCTCTTGTGTGTGTGTGTGTGTGTGTGTGTGTGTGTGTGTGTGTGTGTGTGTGTACTCACCTAGTTGTACTCACCTAGTTGTGTCTGCAGGATCGAGCATTGACTCTTGGATCCCGCCTTTCGAGCATCGGTTGTTTACAGCAATGACTCCTGTCCCATTTCCCTATCATACCTAGTTTTAAAATTATGAATAGTATTTGCTTCCACAACCTGTTCCTGAAGTGCATTCCATTTCCCCACTACTCTCACGCTAAAAGAAAACTTCCTAACATCTCTGTGACTCATCTGACTGTGTGTGTGTGTGTGTGTGTGTTTGTGTGTGTGTGTGTGTGTGTGTGTGTGTGTGTGTGTGTGTGTGTGTGTGTGTGTGTGTGTGTGTGTGTGTGTGTGTGTGTGTGTCTACTCACCTATTTGTACCTGAATAATCGAGCTCTAGCTCTTAGTCCCAGGAGCGCGCGCGCGCGCGTGTGTGTGTTTCTATTTGTTAAACTAATACTAGGGGTTCATTAGGAATGATATTGATGTTCCACATGAAACTGCAAGCAAAGAGCTGTTATCTTGCATCAGCTATTCTGAAGCCTGTCACTAGAAACTCATGTATTGGAGAAGATGGCCGTCGACCCGAGCGGACAGCACGCTGGACATGTGATCCTGCGGTCCCAGGTTCGATCCCAGGCGCCGGCGAGAAACAATGGGCAGAGTTTCTTTCACCCTATGCCCCTGTTACCTAGCAGTAAAACAGGTAACTGGGTGTTAGTCAGCTGTCACGGGTTGCTTCCTGGGGGTAGAGGCCTGGTCGAGGACCGGGCCGCGGGGACACTAAAAAAAAAAACCCTGAAATCATCTCAAGATAACCTGACCCTCCTACACCGACAGTACTACGCTTTAGTCGCTCGTATAAATAAGGACGTGATGGACCCATCGAAAATACACTTGTGTTACTATTGAAATTGTACAAACAAATATATATTCGTACTTACGCTGCCTATAAGAGTTAACCTCACCAAACTATCCTAGGCCTAATGCACGCTATCGCTGAGCTAATATAGACCTTTACCAGGGCTTTATAATATTGGATTTACTAGGCCTAGAAATGTTTAAGTGTGATTTTATTAGCTTTATTTTGTTCCGGACTCTGTAATGCATAGTACGAAATTTTACTTTATGTTCGTCTATCGCGTCGGTATTTGTACGCTCGTCCACATAGTTACGAAATGTCCTGTCTTATGAAGAGGATATGGGATGCATTGGATAGGAATTTGTATGCATACGGAGTTCTCTAAATATGTTCTAAGTAACTCTCTTTCTCTCTCTCTCTCTCTCTCTCTCTCTCTCTCTCTCTCTCTCTCTCTCTCTCTCTCTCTCTCTCTCTCTCTCTCTCTCTCTCTCTCTCTCTCTCTCTCTCTCTCTCTCTCTCTCTCTATATATATATATATATCTATATATCTATCTATATCTATCTATATCTATCCATATCTATATATCTTTCTATGTCTGTGTAACTATCTATATCTATATATCTATCTATATCTATATATCTATCAATATCTATATATCTCTCTATATCTATATATCTATCTATATCTATATATCTATCTATATCTATATATCTATCTATATCTATATATCTATATTTATCTATCTATCTCTTGACACACACGCTTTTTTGCATATTCTTGTTATCTTTTCCAATACACTCTAACTTCCACCATTATCTTAAACATTAGAGAAAGAGTTATCGACAAACATTGAAAAGATGTAATTAAAATATGTCAGATATTAAACAAAGTTACAATAATATATGAACTAACAACGGTTGGTAATACGAAGCTTTCTGCACGATTGTTGTGTATCCATCATCAATTATATAATGTGATATACTCTCTTGTGAACGATATGTAATGAAATTCAATTATTCTTCGTGTTACTTGGTTTTTCCTTTATTAGTTTTAACATTTTCTTGACATTCTGTGACATCATATGAGCTCTGTTCGACCCGTTCATCTAAATCGACGTTCATTTAGTTTTAAATTTAAATATTTAAACATAAATTTAATCATTGATTACTCATTGGTGGTCCGTGTAAATTACTCATTGGTGGTTAGTGTAAGTTACTCATTGGTGGTCAGTGTAAGTTACTCAATGGTGGTCAGTGTAAATTACTCATTGGTTACTCATAAGATCTCTTGGAGCTCCCCAGCTTCCGAACAGGATCTGAGGACACAGCAGGCATTAGATCGTCACATTCAGGTGCTGAAATAGGAAACTGGCAGCTCTTGGGGTCCCTAGTTTTGTCAAAGAGCTTAGAACCCAAATTCTCGGAGAAAGCTCTAAGCACCCCTAATCCAGGTGGGGGGGGGGGGGGCCAAGTCTCAGATGCTATAAGAACCAAAGTGAACTGCCGTTCCAGTTGTTTGTATTTGTTTGATTTGACTGGCTGTGGTTAGTCGCACCACGCGCCAGTTCAGCAGAGGAGCATGCATAGGTGTTGGCCAGAGTGGACACACATGTGCAGTCCCACACACCTGCTGCTTGACCATCATCTTCCAGGGCCACGCTATCAGGGCGGACCGCAGGAGCGCTTGGGGTGTTCGGCCATTAGAACGCAAGGTTCTCTCTCTCTCCGCTACGATACGCACGTTTAATAAATATCTATTTGCAAAAAAAAAAAAAATCTGTTTACGCAACAACAAAGACATTTCCGTTAACGCTTTTTCTAATAAATGTCTCTTTACTCTTTATATATATATATATATATATATATATATATATATATATATATATATATATATATAATCTTTGGACAACACCCACCAGTGGGACTCGAACCCAGAAAGCACAACTACCTTCCAGTAGCTGGCATAACTAGTATGCTTTAACCACTACGCCATCAGACCTTACAAAAGAAGTAGATAGTTCGAGATATATATATCTCAAACATCTCCACCTCCCGAAGGCACCAGATGAGTGAGGGGTCAGTCTGCATTTTTCGTCAAGCCACTGTCAATGTGAGAGAACTCGTGTCCAGCTTATAAGCCTATACTTGCATAAAAGAAAAATGCAGACTGACCCCTCACTCATCTGGTGCCTTCGGGAGGTGGAGATGTTTGAGATATATATCTCGAACTATCTACTTCTTTTGTAAGGTCTGATGGCGTAGTGGGTTAAAGCATACTAGTTATGCCAGCTACTGGAAGGTAGTTGTGCTTTCTGGGTTCGAGTCCCACTGGTGGGGTTGTCCAAAGATTGTTAATCTTCACTTGTGGTTTATGCAAGTATAGGCTTATATATATATATATATATATATATATATATATATATATATATATATATATATATATATATATATATATATATTCATGTTCACTAATCTTCAAATGAATCGACGTACGTTTGCGAAGATATGTATCATGCATTAGGAAGCCTGCGTATACATGCGTACACATACGCAGACGACCAGTTGGGTATCCGTGTGTTGCTATGGCAATTAAAGCTGGTGGAATCAATTACGTCCATTGATGACATCCTTCTCTGTGGAGCCTCGAATTCCGTCCCCTATTTTTAGGGAGATTGACAGGGGAGTTGAAAGGGCGAAAGGGAAGGAAGGATGGAGGAAATGCGAAGGGAGGAAGAGAGAGAAAGGGGAGAAAGAGAGAGAGAGAAAGGGGAGGAAGAGACACACAAGAAAATGTGTAAGGAGATTAATTAATTGATGTGAATTGACTTACACAACGTGGTCCTTCACCTATATAAAGCTTACCAGAATATATATATTACTTAGCGTCTGTCCTTCGTGGATAGGATTTTTAATATGTTATACTAATTTAGAGAATTAGGCAACCCTCTAAATTGGCAAATCTTCGAGGATTTGCCAATCTTAGAGAATTAGCAAATCTTCGGGGGCTAGCCTATTTTAGAGGCGCTATCAATATATCCGGATAAGATCTAGTCTTAGACGAATTGCTAGTCTTTAAGGGATAGCCAATCTTGGAGGGCTAACGGATATCTTAGTAAGCCTGCCAGTCCTAGAGATTAGCAGATGTAAGATAATTAGCCATTCTTAGAATATTAGTCAGTGTTAGAGAACTAACTAATTTTAGGGGAATAACTATTCTTAGAGAATTGGCTTGAAAATCGTCTATTTTAGGGTTAATGGCGCTTGGCTAATTTCCATAGTACTGTATAAAGGTGGTTTACCTGTTCTACAGAATAGTGAATTTTGACTGATAGTAGCAACGTTGTAGGGATCTGTAGCAGTACCACTGTAGGGGTCAGTAGCAGTGTCACTGTAGGGGTCAATAGCAGTGTCACTGTAGGGGGTCAGTAGCACAGTCACTGTAAGGAACTGTAGCAGTGTCACAGTATTGTTCTGTGACAGTGTCATTTTACTGAATAGTTCCAAGCAGTGACACTGCAATAATTCGCATCAGTGAAACCAAAATATCATCTTGCAAATATCACGATATACAATCTTAAGATTCTCTACCACCT